GTGAAAAAGAAGGCACCGTAAGACAAATCAGGATTCATGAACAGATCAATTGTAACAAACAGACTCGTAAAAGCTCACAGGGATGTCTCCAAAACTCGAGACACATTGGGGAAGCAGCAGTGCCTCACGAATTGATAAAAGTTGAAACTCCACGAACATTTGATAGATCGATTTGCACAACTATAAATTTGGGGTATGAATTGAACATAGTAACCGGTTTTCCGTGTTATTTTACTAAAGCAGCAGTTCCTTTGTGAAGAACTAAAATTTTTTTTTTTTTTTTTTTCTTATAAAAGTGAGACACATTTTATTCAAGTTGTGAAAATAGAGGGTCCCAGGGTTTGATTAAATGTTGGAGAAAGATAAGAGATGAGAAAAGAGATAAGATTCTTGGACAAAGTGCAATACCACTTACGTACCATACATCGCGATCTGTAACTCACATATTTTACACAAATTATCTAATCCGAAATGATTTGTTATCCTGAATATATCCATTGTGTGATCTGTCACTGATGGTTTACCAAATTCAAAATACTTTATTAAAATATCATCAATAATTAAACTGATTAATTAGTTCATCTATCATCTAATACAAACAGATTCTAATGCTGGATTTCATCATCATTTTGATGTGTCACTGGTGATTACCAATATCTTAACGTACACCTAGTATTGTACTATTCATCAACCCATCATACGTAGCTAAGCGTGTGCTAAAATGCTGTTAACCATTATATATTCTTTAAATTCTTTCATTAGGTATTCAATATTCTGTCTTGGTGCTCGACCATTTGTTTACTTTTTAAGAAATTAATAAACGAATATACTAGCTGGAGCGGTTAGCTAGAGCTGTTAGCTGTTAGGGAATAGTGCAAAGCTGTACAAAAGAATAAAACATGAAAGCTGTACAAAAAAATAACGCAGAACAAAATTTAAAAATTTATTCTGATTGGAAACATCATAGCGGTACACATAATAAATAATATTAAGAATTTAGAAAGAAAGAAAAAATTATATAGAAATGTACTTTAGTATATAATTACATATGAAAATTAAGATTATATAGAATGAACAATATTTTATTGTTAGAATAATAATATGAATTTACTAGTCCTATAATAAATAAAATTTTCTTTATTTTGAGCAATATAACATTCCAAAATAATTGTTTGAGAAAAAAATTATTATTTTTAATGGGATTTTTTCATAGGATGTATTATTTACTTTTTCGGAAATCTTTATCTGAACATTCGAGACTTTTTTTTTTACATTATACATAGTTACAATTATATTTTATAAAGTTTAATTATGTGGTTAATAATACGGTTAACCGTGCGGCTAATCGTACTGTTAAATAACGGTTTTGATACGTTTCCGGTATATTAACGGTTACGGTTAGTATTTTTTTTTAACCGTAACTAATCTAGTTTTACGGTGAATGGTTATGGTTTTTAACCGTTTTATACAGTTACGGTTGAAAAACGGTCCAATTACGATCCAAAATACGGTTATGGTTAGCTTTTGGTCATGCTTACTAGGCATGACCAAAAGCTAACCGTAACCATATGTTGTACCGTAACCGGACCGTTTCTCAACCGTAACCGGACCGTTTCTCAACCGTAACGGTATAAAACGGTTAAAAACCGTAACCGTAAAAAATAATTAGTTACAGTTAAAAAATATATTAACCGTAACCGTTAATTAAGGGTAAACATATGAAAACTGTTATTTAACCATATGGTTAACCGCATAGTTAAAACTTTAATAATATAATTGTAACTCCATATAATTCAAAAAAAATTATCGAATATTCAGATTAAGATTTTCAAAAAAGTAAATGATAGCGCATATGAAAAAATCTACGTTATAAAAAATGGTCTTTTTCTCAAACAAATATGTTATACTGTTATTTTGCTCGAAATGAAGAAAATTTGGTTTGTAACATACTTTTTGATTTTATGAAAAGTATTATAATAAGTTAGGTAGCTCGTAAGATTTCGCCTCCGATATTAACCATATTGTAGTCATCAAATAACTATAACCGTAATTATCCGTAACCGTTGTAACCGTAACCGTAACCGTATTTAACCGTAACGGTTATAACCGTATTTAACCGTAACCGTTATAACCGTATTTAATCGTAACCGTATTTAACCATAACTGTATTTAACCGTAACTGTTTTAATTTATTTTTGTTTTTGTCCAATAAAACAGTTTTTTTTTTTTTTTTTTTTTTTTAATAGTGTACTGCTTTTCATAAAGCTTTTGTGATTGGTAACTGTCAAAGCTGTACAAAGCTGTACAGCTTTAAAATTGGTTACCAATCATAGCCGAAATGTTTTACGGACAAAGACGTTATACATATTTAATTATGCTGGATATATACATTGTGCGCTTCTACTTCTTCTTTTTTTTTTCAATTAGAAGTCAGATTACATGATCAAGAAGTCAAGTAAAAATCTTGAGTGACAAGTATCTTTATATCTAAAGACTATGATACTGCAATTTGATCGGTACTTTCTTGTTTTGAGTATAATAAGTTAGACCGGAGTTGATTAGTCAATTAGTCATGTCACCAAATCTCATAGCGTGGATACGAACTCCCATATAAAAAATACAAAATCACTAGATCAGCCGATAAGAAACATATAACTAATACGGATATCATCTTCGTATGCCTTCCTTGTGGTTT